CTAACCTGTGTCTGACATCTAGCATGATCTCAGTAACTGTTTGCTGATTTGCTGACTGGTAATTTTTCTATAAAGGTAATGCATAATTAGCATCCAACCAAAGACAAAAGTAATACAATGGAAACCCAAACATTGTAGATCCTGCATTCTAAGGGACAGGATAGATTTGCAACAGCAACACAAGCTCTTTTTCATGTTGCGTTCATTTCATTTTAACAGAATATTTGGGATTAGTTGATTAAAACAAAACAAAATAAACAACAAAAAACCTTCAAGTTACAACCCCAAATATATAAAATGCAAGTAAAACGAGGAGGTGATTACTCATGTTGCGCAGTTGAGCATTAACGGAGAAAAGAGAGTTACCCAACTTACTTTGGGTAAGTGGTGGGGTACATTTTACCTGGGTAAAGGATGGGATTGGGTTAAGGGATTATAGTCTCTCCTAAGACAGAGAGGGTTAAAGACCCCTCTTAATAAAAGGAAAGAATGCTTGACCAAACTTGTGAATGGGATACAGAATGAAATGAAAGAGATGAGAGAAGGTTGCTACCCTGCATGTTGTCCTTATCAGGACAACCACTGCAGAATTGAGTAGTAATTTTTTCCTTTCAAATACCATAGGGACAGCCTTCCATCCACAGTCATGGTGTCAGCTGCTGATGGGAGGGGGCCTGATGAGGAGGCTGTCTCAGGAGCCTAGCCTCTGAGCCTGGCCTTTCTGTGATCCAGGTGGCAGGATTTGGACAGGTCTTTGCCATCTCTGGCTTGCACTTCTCTCATCTATAAAAAAGGGGGCTGTAGCTTCAAATCCCATTTTTTTCTAGACTTGAAATCCTTTATAGAAGACTGTTCTCTGTGCCCTCCTGTCAGAGGCATTTAAACCAGAGTGATTCCATCTTGAATAGGGACTGGGTAAAATAAGTCTCAGACCTACTTGGCTGCATTCCTACTAAGTTAGGCGTTCTGAGTCACAGGATGACTAAGGAGGTTGGCACAAGATACAGGTCATAAAAACCTTGCTGATCAAACAGATTGTGGAGAAGAAGTCAGCCAAAACCGTCCAAAACCAACATGGCGATGAAAATGACCTCTGGTGGTGCTCGCTGCTTGTTATGCACTAATTATAATGCATTTGCGTGCTAAAAGACACACTCACCAGCACTATGACAGTTTACAAATGCCACAGCAATGTTAAGAAGTTATCCTATACAGCCTAAAATGGGGAGGAACCCTTAGTTCTGGGAATTGCCCACCCCTTACCCAAAAAACTCTGGAATAATCCACACCTTGTTTAGCATATAATCAAGAAACAAGTGTAAGTATACTTAGTTGAGCAGTCCATGCCACTGCTCTGCTTTGGAGTAGTCATTCTTTTGTTTCTTTACTTTCTTAAAAAACTTTATTTCACTTTAGTCTGTAGACTAGCCCTGAATTCTTTCTTGCATGAGGTCCAAGAACCCTCTCCTGGGGTTTGGACTGGCACCACTTTCCAGTAACATCTTCCTGGAACCATGAAGGGACTATTTTGAGGAAATCCCCAGCCCAAAGGAAATAGAATGCAACACCAATTGGCCAGCTTTGGGTAAGTGTCGGCGTACATTTTACCCAGGGAAAAGGTGAGCTTGGGTTAGAGGCCCAATTTAAGAGAATTACAGTCTCACCTAAGACAGAGTTTTTCTTTCCTTTTTTTTTTTTTTTTTTTTTTTTTGAGACAGAGTCTCACTCTGTCACCCAGGCTGGAGTGCAATGGCACAATCTTGGCTCCCTGCAACCTCCTGCTCCCGGGTTTAAGCAACAAGTGATTCTCCTGCCTCAGCCTCCTGAGTAGCTGGGACTACAGGCATTTGCTACCACACCTGGCTAATTTTTGTATTTTTCGTAGAGATGGGGTTTCACATGTTGGACAGGCTGGTCTCGAACTCCTGACCTTGTAATCTACCTGCCTCAGCCTCTCAAAGTGCAGGGATTATAGGCGTGAGCCACCACACCTGACCAAGGCACTTCTTAATAAAAGGCAAGAACGCTTGACCAAACTTGGGTTAAAGGCCCAACTTAAGAAGGTTAGTGTCCTTCGTAAGATTTAGAGGGCGAGAGACCTCTCTTAGTAAAGTCTCTTTTGGTTAAAAATGGATTTTGCACTTGGGATGTTAACCACTGTTCTCTTTGGATTAATCTGCCTTGCACTCTTTGCTGATGGCTGTCAGGGACAAGATTAGGCATGTGCATAATCATGGGACATGGGGAGTTTTCTTCCTTCCTAAAGCAGGAGACTTGAGAGCTGATGGGACTGCTGGAAAAGTTTCCTTTGCAACTGATCAATGACTGCCTGAACGTATGATTCAGTATTGCTGCAATAGGTGGGACTTTCTCTTGCCTCCCTGAGTTCTTTGCCTTCCCCACCCTGCAGCAAGCAATGCTTTTCTCCCTCTCTCTCTCTCTCTCTCATTTCCCTTTTCTATCTTTTCTGTTCCTCAGGGCCACCAGCTTGCCCAGAGTCCACATGTTGGAACTCCTGGTCAGAGGTCATTCTAACCCACTGTGAATGAATTAAAGATGACAAGGCCCATCCTGGGGCAAGTTTGGGACTTGCTAGTTTGATATTGGCTGCTAAGTGAAGTGACTAATGTCTATGTTTTGTCAAATCACATGTATTTTGCTCTGACCATAATGGAAAATGTTAATTTGGTTACCCCGTGCAACCTCTTGAGTGGTGTCTTGCAAAACTGAGACACTTTTGCCTATGGCTTTATGAAATGGAAAAAGGTAATTTTCCTTTGTAATGTGGCTTGGCCCCCAGGGGTTCGGTGCAGCAAGCAGGGTCACTAGGAATGCTCAGGACAAGGGAGTCTAGAAACCTCACATGCTGGCCAAAGGGTAAGAATTTCTTACCAGTCAGGCTTCTGACCTCTCTCTCTATATATATGCAAACTGGTTGAATGAATGGTAAAAATCACTGTTTATTTTCTCTGTAAAGTTTTGATTAATGGGAAAAAGGATTTGTGAAGCTACTCTTAAGCTATAGAGAATCTGGTTTACTTTGTGTTATAAATGTGTCTCTCTGTATTGCTCTGTCATAAAGAGGAGTGTTTTAGGATAGAAATCGACTTAGGACCCCATAAACCCACTGTTCAAACCAGCCTGGCAAGCTGGTCAGTTGCAAAGTTTGCTTCAGGTAGCTCAAAAAAGAAAAAAGAAAAAGATGAATGAAGATTTACTGTCATCCTGTTTTATGTCCTTGAGAGCTTGACCTTGTAACCATGTGGCAATAGTTTCTCTTGGTCTCTGACAGCCAGGGAACAGGAATTTGAGGGTTCATGTCATAGTTAGCTCTAGAAATTATCTTGAGCCTTTGCAAGCTCAAAGTTGGCTGCTTTAGACTTCTTCCGGGAAGAGCAATGGAAACTGCCCAGTGCTGTAGCTTAGTAGTTAAGGCTTTGTCTTTTCCTAATGATGGCCTGAGTTCGGGCTTCCATTCCTAATTTAGGATATGAGTCCTTTCTGGTTTGATATCTGTGTAACTTTTGCCCCGTATTGATTATCTTCCCTTCCATGACAACTTCTGACTTCCCTTCTTGAATTTTCCTTTCTCTGAGTACCTGGGAGGTTACCTTTGGTAAACCACCAAAAACAAGGCTGTTTGCCCTGGCTAAAGTTAGGTAATAAAAAGAGTTAAAAAGATTATTTTTAAAAGTGATATTGTTATGTCAATTTAATTAAAAAGTGGATATCCAAACTATGCATATATTTAAAAGGCCTTCATGTTTTTTTTCTTCTTGAATCTTATTTTTCTGAAGAAAAAAACTTTTTTTTCTTCTCAGTTGACTGAATTGTTTTTCTCCATTTTGTCTGCTACTCTTAATGCACACAGTAGATGATCTAAGAGAATTTCTAGCAGCCTGGGACTCCTGAGGAAAACAGAGAAGGTGGCACTAACCCTGTTTTGGGGAAGAAAACAAACAAACAAACAAAACCCCGTTTTCCTCACGAAACCCCAGGAATTAAAAGTGGGTAAATCCCTCTCAAAATCTAAGGCTCTATTCCATTTTGCATTACGTTATCTGACATTTTTGACTATTGAGGGCATATCAGAAATTACTTTGAATTATGAAAGAGCTTTGGTGTGAATAACCATATAGAAAATTCACTTTTAGGGATGTTTAATGGCAGTTGTGGGAGGATACTTTGCTCTGTGCATGTTTTGATCAGAGAAGCCGTGCCCTTGGCCTTCTAGAAAGTATGGAAATGTGCCCATCCCCACTGAGAGATAAGATTCCTATGGGAGATGGGCTGATTTTCTTTGGGGGTATCCAGGATCTGGTATAAAAATAGGATCCTGGCCAGGTGAGAAAGCTCACACCTGTAATCCCAGCACTTTGGGAGGCTGAGGTGAGTGGATCACAAGGTCAAGAGTTCAAGACCAGCCTGGCCAATGTGGTGAAACCCTGTCTCTACTAAAAATGCAAAAAAAAAAAAAAAAAAAAATTAGCCGGGCACAGTGGCGGGCGCCTGTAGTCACAGCTACTCGGGAGTCTGAGGCGTAAGAATTGACTGAACCCAGGAGGTGGAAGTTGCAGTGAGCCGAGATTGCACCACTGCGTACCAGCCTGGGCGACAAAGCAGTGAGACTCCGTCTCAAAAATAAATAAATAAATAAATAAATAAATAAATAAATAAATAAATAAATAAAAGAGATCCTTAGTTTGGGGGGATTTGTTTTGCCTTTCAGTTGTGCCTGATTATTAAGTCATAGAAACTGCATTCTTTAAAGAGAAACTTGAAAATGGCAAATGAAAATTCTTACAAGTACTAGATCCTCTTCTGACTATGTATTTATAGGTGCTGTGTGTGTGATATGCAAGAGCTTTGATTAATTGGCTTAAAAATAGTAGGCACTTAAATCAAATATTTTGTCAGAAAAATACAAACCGTAATGCCTTTTAGTTCAGGTAACTTTAGTAAGCTTTGGGATATAAAGAAATTTTTAAAGATTATTGGTTGTGCTCACTTTGGTAGCACATATATTGAAATTAGAATGATACAGAGAAGATTAGTATGGCCCCTGTGAAAGGATGACAAGCAAATTCATGAAGCATTCCATATTTTTTAGAAAGATGCCTGTTCTCACTGGTAGTTAGAGCAAAACAAACTTAAAATGAGGTTTTTCTCTTCATTAAACTGGCAAAAATCTAGTAAGTTGTTAATATTCATTACTGGTTAAAATGTGGAGAAATAAGCACTTTCAAATACTGCTGGTATAAAAGGCAATTTGACAATAACTACCAACATTTAAAATATGAATACCTACAATTCCATTTCTAGGAACCTGTCTCAAAATCTTCACATAATATATCCAGGAGAAATTTTTAACATTCCTGATAGTATATATAGATTACCATAGTTCTCAACATAAATGTAGACTTCTCCTATTTTGCTGAAGTAGAACATAACTTTAATAATACTCCCTTAGAATTCTGAGAGAAAGCTGTTAGGTTCAGACTAAAAAGTAATAAAGTGTGTTTAACTTATTACAGAGAGGTACAGTGCAGAGGTACTATATAAAGTACTTTACAGGAAAAAATTGATTTAATCTTCACAATAATTTGGTGAGGAAATAGAGGCAAGGAAGAGTTAGAAGGAGTGCCAAGGTTAATTGGTAAGTGGCTAAGTTGATGTTCATTCTTAACATTGGGGTGCACTGTGAGATAGGAGTTCAGCAGGAGTTGTTTCTCAAAACACAGGTCACAGAAACCCCACTGATAAAACAGGATGTGGTAAAGAAGCCAGGTAAAGCCAGCCACAATCAAGAAGACAACACTCACTGTAATTCTCCAGCACCATGACAATTTACAGATGCCATGCAAACTCCTGGAAGTTACCCCATATGGTCTAAAAAGAGAAGACATTCTCAGTTCCAAGAATTCCCAGCCCCTCTCCTGGAAAACTCTTGAATAATCTACCCCTTGTTTAGCATTTAATCAAAAAATAATCACTAAAATATCCAAGTTGCAGTCCTTGGGGCTGAACTTGCTTTCATTTAAAAAAAAACATAAAGGTTATTGGTAAAGTAAAAATGTCTTCAAAAATTAGACATTTAGTCTAAATTTTTACAGATCAGATATTAGGTTTGCTAAATGATTTAAGGTTATAAGCTGCTTCTTTGACCTTTGAAAATTGTTCAACTTACCTGCTGTGGAGTCGTTAGAGTCTAGTTAAGTTCTGGGCACATGTGGAGTTAGCCATGCCTCCTAGCTGTGCTGGAATGAGTCAGACTTTATCTGGACTTCTGTCTGGTGTCCTAGAACAAAATTAGAATCACTTACTTACCAGGTTTTTCTCCAAAGTAAATGTTACTAAGAGTTAACAATGTAACATGTACCTGAGACTACTGGAAAAAGTTTTACATGAAAGGTATGTAAAGAAAGTAAAATGTGGTTTTGGGAGAAGATTATAAGAATTGATGGGAATGTAGTTTTTTGTCTTTTTTTCTTTCTTTCTTTCTTTCTTTTTTTTTTGGTCTACTTTAGAGGATGCATTAGTCTGTTCTCACACTACTATAAAGAACTGCCTAGGACTGGGTAATTTATAAAGGAAAGAGGTTTAATTGACTTATGCTTCTGCAGGGCTGAGGAGGCCTCAGGAAACTTACAATCATGGCACAAAAGGAAGCAAACACTTTCTTCCTCACGTGGTGGCAAGACAGAGAAGTGCATAACGAAAAGGGAAAAGCCCCTTATAAAACTGTCGGATCTCATGTGAACTCACTCACTACCATGAGAACAACATGGGGAAACCATCCCCATGATCTAATCACTTCCCAACAGGTCCCTCCCTAACATGTGCAGATTATAATCCAAATTAGAATTCAAGATGAGATTTTGGGTGGGGTACAGTCAAATCGTGTCAGAATGTTAAAGGATACTTCTAAGTTGAATAGGATATAGCTGAACGTTTGAGTAAGTTGTGGAAGCTTTGTGAAAATTAATCTTGTTAAAGAAATTATGTGCGGAAAATATTGGCTGAAGTTAAAGGGATATCATTCAGTTTTTCCATAAATTGAACATTGGAATAAAAGCACGACTGAGTTTTCTTATAGTACTAATCTGCTCTTTAACAAAGATTTGTAAAGGATTATAAAAGTTTCATAAGAAACTTACCTTATGGTCAGATATTAAAATTGAATATATTCCTCTATAAGGTTTTATTAAGAATTGGGGTTGACATTAATGGTATGCTAATGCAAAGGGTGAAATTTGGCTTTAACTCTTGAACAGGATTTTCATGTCAAATTAAAAAATAATTTTAAAAAATTGTTTGGCTTTAGGATAAACTAAAGGAAAAACAAGGGAAAGACAAGAGACAAATTGTTTGGAAAGCTAAGTCTTCCCTCTATCAGTGAGTAAAGGTTTTTACTTCTAAAAATTTTGAGTTATCATTTTGGCTAAATTAATGACTTATGGTGACCTGGAATTCTATTTTATAATATCAAGTGTTTTAAACCTTTGATGTTTTACAAACTTTCCAAGATTAAATTTTAAATTATGTCTTATCCTGACCTAATTAATCTTTAGATAGTAGGTCCTCTAAAGTCCAAAAGTGACATACCTGGCATGTTTGGTATAAAACTAATACAGGAAGCATTGTCAAAAATGAGCTGGTGTTTGGATTTCTTTTGCTGTATTTGTATAAATATGTTACTGGTATGTGTTCCAAAATTACGGGAAACTTCTTTAATTTTGATATAAACTTAGTGTATGTTATTAATAGTTTTAATTGTTATGTACAATTGTTGTATGCCTCAGAAGTAACCAAAATTCCTAGTCAATTGTGGCTTCAATAGTGGCTGTCCTAAGGCTTTTTGTCATCCACAGACAATTGTTGTCTTGTTTTGATCCTCTTCAAAAGATGGCTTGTAATCAGCTATAGGACTTTGACAGGTGCTTTTGAATGCAAGTTTCTGATAACTTTGGAGATTGTGACATTAGCGTATAGGGAAAAACTTTCAGGACTCTCAGAGAGAGTTGAAGTGTTCATGAATTTCAAGTGGAACAGGATTTAACTGCATAGACTGAATAAGTAGAAAACTGAAGCAATCTTTTCTGATTTTTTGCTTAAAATGTTGCTGATGCTTTGTTTTGTCTTTTTGCAGCTGGGAAAACTTTTTTTTTTTTTTTTTTTTTTTGAGCTACTGACAGCTTTTAACACTTGAGTAAGTTATGCTCCTGTGAACAAAATTTGGAGCATATTTGTTTCTCTCTGCCTTATTTCTCCAAAATTTGGAAACTACTTGTGAGTATTCTTAACTTATGGCCTTATAGTTATTTGCATAAGTGCAATAAGAATCTGTTTTCTTTTGTAACTGGATACATTTGGAGAAACTGGTTATTTCATGAAGGCTTTGACTGGAATGGCATGCTTTCCTTTAAGGAATTAAATTTGACTTACAGAACCAACAAAAGCCCATTGGGAAAACTGGCCTCATACCTTGTTTCCACAGTCCCTGTACAGGATTCCTGACTTGTGGTAATAAAGAATGTCACTTTCTGACAGACTCAGGAGCACCAAGTTATCTTGGGACCTAAACAGGAGAGGAATTTACTCAGCTCCTATAGGTACTTGATGGTGCAAACTGATGACCGGGCTCAACTTTAAAAAAAGGTCTTATCTGACATTCCTTATGGAACAAAATTCCATTAAAGGCAGTTAAAAAGAACCTACATGGCAAATAATCATTCTTGCTGCACTTTATACAAATAATCAGGCCAAATATAATAAGACCAAAGTTTATTTTGCAGACAACTCATTTCTACCTTGATTTGTCTTTAGTAAAAACGGGAGACTGGAAAGAGCAAAAATATGTTTCAAGAAGTATGGTACACTTGTTATTAGATTCTAGTCTCATCAGTTGTGTTTCACATTTTTTCCCGAAATTTAGATGGATTCTGCGTATTCCTGTGAACCAACCATTGATTTCTGGCTACTGCTCAGAAGAAACAAGAGGGATGGGTAATTTAAATATCTGGATCAATATTCTAATTCTGGGCACACATTGGAATCAGCTAGTGACCATATTATATCTGCTTGCTTCCAACAATTCCCCAGTTCGTGGAAAGCCTTCATATTTTATTTACTTGGGATAATTTTGCTTTACTGTTGTGGACTATATTGCTGTTGTGCTCTGTGTAGGAATGCAGTATAAGCTTACTGTATGTTTTCTTAAGTTGAACACTTATTAATCTTTTAGATATCACCTTTTGTTGGAACTCAGAGTTATGAATGGCCCTGGCCATACCTACACTTTCTGAATGAGATCTTCTCTACTCTAAATGTCAGAAACCCTAATAGTTAGGCTGAAATATCATCGTCATTATTCTGACTGAAGAAGTTACAGAAGATGGATCTTCACCCCTCTACAACCCTTAGGATTAAGGGTTCCATTGTAAAAGTGTGGGTGGAAATATATTCAGAGGTGTTTTAACCAGAGCAACTCCATCTTGAATAGTGACTGGGTAAAATAAGTCTGAGACCTAATGGGCTGCATTACCAGTAAGTTAGGCATACGAAGTCACAGGAAAAGATAGGGGGTTGGAAAAAAAGTACAAGTCATAAAGATTTTGCTGATAAAACAGATTGTAGTTTTAAGCCAGGCAAAAGAAGCCCGCCAAAATCCACCAAAATTAAGATGGCGATGAAAATGACCTCTGGTCATCTACTGCTCATTATATGCTAATTATAATGCATTTCCATGCTAAAAGACACTCCCACCAGCGCCATGACAGTTTACAAATGCCATGACAGTGTAAGAAAGTTACCCTATATGGTCTAAAAAGGGAGGAACCCTCAGTTCTGGGAATTGCCATTCCTTTCCTGGAAAACTCATGAATAATCCACCCCTTATGTAGTATATAATCAATAAATAACTATAAGTATTCTTAGTAGAGCACCCCATGGCACTTTCTTGCCTATGGAGTAGCCATTCTTTTGTTTCTTTACTTTCTCAATAAACTTGCTTTCACTTTACTCTATGGACTCACCCTAAATTCTTTTTTGTACGAGATCCAAGAACCCTCTCTTGGAATCTGGATTAGAATCCTTTTCCAGTAACAC